AGTTCTGCACAGTGTCAAAGCAAGAATATACAGTATTTGCAGCGTTGACACCAATCTTCTGCTCACCTGGCCAGCTGGCCTCACACTGTTCTCCGACAAGCTGACAAGCTTATTGGGTGGGCTCCCTGCCCTTGTTGCGTCTCCGCAGGAAGCAGCAGCTCTCTCTCTCTCTCTCTCTCACACACACACACTTTTATTTACTTAGTGGGGGAAAAGGACTGGCAGACCAAGGGCACGAGAGAGTCAGCCCAATAAGAATGTGTTGTCAGCTTGTCGGTGAACAGCGTGAGGCCAGCTGGCCAGATGAGCAGAATATCGGAGAGAGGGGGGGAGAGAGGAAAGAGAGAGGGAGGGAGAGGAAAGAGAGAGAGAGGAGGGAGAGGAAAGAAAGGGAGGGAAAGAGAGAGAAAAACGGGGAGAGGAAAGAGAGAGAGAAAATATGAATATATGTTGTCCTTACTGGACTTTTGGTAAAGAACGTTTAATGAAATATTTTGATTTTTTTTAATTAAGAGATGAGGTATGGGGAGAATTATGCTGTATTTAAAGATGGTAGTTAAGCTACTAAAATTGTTTTCACCTGTTGGGATGAAGGAGAAAGGTTCCCCCCCCTTCTCCAGCATAAAAATTTGTTTTCTTTGTAGCAGTTCATTGATTTCATAAATGCAACACACTATACTTTTTATGCATAGCATAAAGGTAAAAAAGGATATATGCAGTGTTATCTTCATTTTAGATGTCAAAAGGATTTTGTGGCTCCCAATGTTTTCTGTGAGAAACGGGTCCAAGTGGCTCTTTAAGTGTTTAAGGTTGCCGACCCCTGGTCTAGTCTCTTAAAAACCTCCAGTGATGGAGCGCCCATGATTTCTGAAGGCAAGCTGTTCCACTGGTTGTCCTCACTGTTAGGAAGTTTCTCCTTAATTCCAGGTTGCTCCTCTCTTTGGTCAGTTTCCAACCATTGTTTCTTGTCTTTCCTTCTAGTGCTTTGGAAAATAGTTTTGACGCCCTCTTCTTTGTGGCAGCCCCTCAAATACTGGAATACTGCTATCATATCGCCCGTTTCTTCTTTTTTTTAGACTAGCCAAATTCAAGTCCTGCAGCCGTTCTTCATGTTTTAGTCTCCAGGCCTTTGATCATTTTAGTTGCTCTTCTCTGAACTTTTTCCAAGGTCTCAACATTTTTTTGTAGCATGGTGATCAAAATAGGTTGCAGTATTCCAAGTGTAGTCTTACTAGGGTTTTATAAAGTGGTACTAATACTTCGCATGATCTTGATCCTATGCCTCTGTTTATACAACCCAGGATTGTATTAGCTTTTTTGGCTGCTGCTGCACACTGCTGGCTCATTGTCCACTAGGACTCCAAGGTCCCTCTCACAGTTGCTGTTTTTGAGCCAGGTCTCGCCCAATCTGTACCTTATCATAATTTATGGTAACATGCTGAATGAGTGTAAGGCAGCCTAATATGAATTAAACTTAGAGAAACTTGGAAAAAGTTTTATTTCCTACTAGAAATGTTAGCATCCTATAAAATGCAAAGCTCACCTTAGACTAGAAGAGTTTACAAACTCAGCATTTGCTGAAGTGCAGTTCTATCAGTAAGTTGCTCTTCTATATGCATGTCTAGTATGATCCAAATTATTTCAGCTTTCAACAAATGAAAGAATGTATGTGATATCTTTCAGCTTCTAGATTTAGCCCACACCTATCATCAGAGCTGTTCCAGCTCTATTTCCTACCATTGAACCTTGTTCTTTTCATTTGATTTAGGCCTGTAGGATGTGTAAATGTTTTCCAAAGAAAAGTTAGCACAAAACTATATTGAGATCATGACTTTGTTTTCAACTAAAATGTGATTAGCTGTAATTCACAAACTGTTTGGAAAAATTTAAGCATATGCATATTTTAAAATCTCAAGTCACTTTTAATTTTAAAGTTGCATCTCTTTATTACAAAATCTTTTAAATTTTACTATGAAAAAAATGACATAAGTAATGGCCCATTTTTTTCTCTTACAAAAGAGCCTGGCAATGAGGGCTATACTTTGTCTCAAATCGTATCTCAGCTACAGCACCTCTTTGTAAAAGGAATAAGAACAGATATAGCCTATAGATATACCTGGAGATTTACTCCCAGTTAGATCCACCAATTCCACTAGGAAGAGACGAAGTAAAGATATAAATATTTATTTCCCCTCACTTCCCCAAAAGCTAATATTCCCAGCAAATTCAAGTGAATTCAGGAGTCCTAATTGCATTTTAAATGCAATTTTGAGAATTGTCATTAGGAAACAGTACAACGTGCACCAAAGAAAAGGAAGCAAATCCCTGAAGTAAACAGACCTGTCTTGTTCTATCCTTTAAAAAAAAAAGCATATATAGGAACAGATCAGGTTTGACACTATTCATACTTATAAGCGGAAATATAAGCATTAACATTCACCAGTTTTAAAAATATTTAGTCCAAACACTAAAATAGTTTAAACAGAATCAGAAAAACATTGTCCACAGAGATTTGGGGGTTTCCTACTCTGTCTTTTTTTGGTTAAAAATATTTTCCATCGTTGAACTCTGTATTTTATATAATTTGCAACTTGCTGGCACTATCCTGTTTGGAATGAAAGACGAAAGACTAGCTTTTAAATAGAATGTGTTTAAAACAGCAGTGTTAATTATTATTATTATTATTATTATTATTATTATTATTATTATTATTATTATTATTATTGTTATTGTTATTATTATTATTATTTGATTTATATCCCGCCCTTCTCCCGACGGGACTCAGGGCGGCTCACAACCTATTTAAAAACAAAAACATACCCACAATCCCCACCGAATAAAACCATTATTATTATTAATTTAATTTATATCCCGCACTTCTCCTTGCGGACTCAGGGCAGCTAACAACCAGATAAAACACTAATCCCCAGAACTACAATATTAAAAACATAAGTAAAAACAAATATTAGTAATGTGGTCAGATTGATTTAAAAATTACTTTAAAACCCCATTAAAATTTTCCCCTAGGCCAGTCCTGCAAGTTGGAATAGCCATGTCTTAAGGGCGCGGCGGAAGGAAGGGAGATCAGGGATCACCCT